GTAAATATTCTTGAAGTATTATGTGTTGATAGGCAAAGGGTGCATTTATAGGATAGCAATGTAGAGTTTTTGCCATTAATTTATGGGTTTTGAAGCCTTTTAAATTCACAAGCCTAATCAGTACAATCTAAACACAACCCAATAGTCTTCTTCCCATTTTGCAACCGTAGAAAATATACACACCAAAGAATAGTGCCAATAAACCCTAGAAAATCAACAAAAAACTTTTGACAAAAAGGCATGAATCATATCTATGGGTCACGTTTGATTGTCAAAAAATTAGATTGGTGCTATCAGCTAACTACTGTTTGTTGGATGCATTCTTCTCCATTCTTTTGGGGCTCAATCGACTTAACATATGATAGATATTCTATGACGGGTCCACCAATGGTGTTAAGCGTCTGTTTTTTTTGGTTTAATGAAACGCAATTTTTATTTTATTATTTTACTTCACTGTATTATTTTCACAACCAATAACTATAAATAAATTAAACAAACATATGTCAATACACACCAAAGCTAAATATAAAAAAAATAATCATTAAGAAAAAGAAAATAAAACAAAAAGGATGTTATATATATGTTATTTTTCTAATAATGGTGAACTATCTCGACTGCATGTTCTTCAAATTGATTCCACAATACGAATCTTGAATATGTATAATCAATCGTAAAATATGTACATGGGTTACTATTGATTCTCTTTGGAAAGTCGAACAAGTGCATAGCATGTCACATCTACTTTCCACTTTGGTATGAGAAAATTTTAAATATATCCTAAAAGCTTCATTTGCCTTTGCGATACATGGTGGCGGTACATTGTCTACACTGAAAAAATATATATATGAACTTTTAATTATTTCGATTTAGTTCATTAGCTATTGATTTTGTGGTTATAAAATTCTTTCGTTCATATCACTTGTTAAAACAAATGGAATCAAGTTCGTCAGTTTGTTATGTGGTTGTTCATGTTATGTGTCTCTATTTGCTCTAACAAGTGAAATAAGCAAAATGACTTTATTGACATTAAATTAATTGTTGAGATGTCAAATTGAGATAATTGAAAGTACATAAATATTATTTGTTAGTCTAGACATTTATAAATTATTATACATTTATACATTTATTGTAATCATGGTCATCCTCCATTAAAACTATGGACATTTATACATTATTATCATATAATCATGATCATCCTCCATTACATTTATAATTTATACCATTTATACATTATGGACCCGAATGCATGTGATTGGTTTTAGAAAATCAATAATCAAATTACAATCATTTTTCAATTGTTTTCTTCGCAAATACTTTTCACTTAATCAATTTAACTTTTTTTTTTGTCTTAAACAGATGGATTCTTCAAAACATAATATTATAATTTATGATAAAAAAGATCAGGTCGGGCATGAATCTAATGTAGTTGCAGCTCCAACAATACAGACATCAACTAGTACAACTATAGAAAAAGGTAAACCTAATTGTAAGCGACAAAAGACTTCAATAGTATGAAAATATTTTACAGAATTAAATGAAAAATATCCAGACGGCAAGAAGCGTGCTGCATGTAAAATTTGTGGTATCAAATATATATGTGATTCTAGTCATAGAACTGGTAACATGCATACTCACATGGAAAAATGTGTGAAAAAAAATACTAAGGATATTGGACAATTACTTCTAAGTCAAAGTCAAGGATCTATGCTAATGCGATCTACAAAATTTAATCCTGAAAAGTTTCGTGAGTTAGCGATTGAGGCAATACTTAAGCATAATTTACCATTTCGATTTGTCCAATATGAGGGTATTAGAACAATGTTCAAGTACGCTTATGAGAATATCAAGATGCCTTCTAGGAATACTGTAAAGTCAGATGTGTTAAAAATATATAAGAGAAAGAAGGATAAACTTAAAATTAAGTTGGGTTCCCTTCCTGGAAGAATTTATTTGACATCTAATTTGTGGACTTCTATATCTACCGATGAATACGTTTCTCTCACAGCCCATTATGTTGATCTAGATTGGAAGTTGTAGAAAAAAATTTTAAACTTTTGTCTCATGCCCCATCCCCATACTGGTATTGCCTTGTCTGAGAAAATTTTTACATTTTTGACTGATTGGGGAATTGAAAAGAAATTATTTTCTTTGACTTTGGATAATGCTTCTAGTAATTATTGTTTTGTTGAGTTGTTGAAGAGCCAACTTAACCTTAAAAATGCTCTCTTGAGAGATGGTGAGTTTTTCCATGTTCGCTGTTGTGCACATATTCTTAATTTGATAGTCTAAGAAGGACTTAAAAAAAATTGATGAATCAGTGATAAAAATTCGAGAAAGCATCAAATATGATAAAGGTTCATCGAAAAAGAAAAAGAAGTTCATGGATTGTATTACACAAGTTTCATTAGAGAGTAAAAAAGGTTTGCGAAGAGATGTTCCAACGAGGTGGAACTCAACTTATATTATATTTGACAGTACACTTTTTATCGTCGTGCATTTATTCATTTACAGTTAAGTGATTCTAATTATAGACATTGTCCTTCCCAAGAAGAATGGAGCAAAGTAGAGAAGATTTTTAATTTGTTGAGGGTATTTCATAAAGTTACTTACTTATTCTCTGGTACAACATATCCCACAGCTAATTTATACTTCCCCCAAGTGTTCCTAATTCAACATACTTTGAAGGAGGTATTGACAAATAATGATAGTTTTATGAGGATAATAAGAAGTCATATGTATGCCAAGTTTGACAAGTATTGGTCAAAGTATAATGTGATTCTTTCAATTGCTATCATCTTAGATCCTCAGTATAAAATTCAGTTTGTAGATTGGGCATATTCAAAACTTTATGGTGGTAATTCCTATGAGTTCAAGTGTGTTCAGGATATTTTATTGAGCTCTTTGAATTGTACTCTGTCAACTTGTCTCGTGTTGTTCCAAGTACTTCAAGTAGTGAGAAGCGAGTTAGTGAGACTCATGGTCTTGATGATTGCGAAAGCCTTTTTCAAGTAAAATATAATTTAGTTTGTTTGAATTGAATGTAATCAAGGTAGTTTATTGTATATTTGTAATTATTTTGTACAAAATGTAAGATTTTAAAAAACATGAAGAAGAAGATTCTCCTATTTCTCAAGTGATTGAGTTGCAGTTATAATGAAAAAAGGCTTGATCGAAAGAAAGACTTGGCATCCTATATTATCTCGGTTGGCTTATGATGTGATGAAAATTCCTATTTCTACAATTGCATCTAAATCTGCATTTAATACCGATGGTAGAGTTTTGAATAAGTATCGAAGTTCACTTTTGCTAGAAACTGTTCAAGCTTTGATTTATACTAGAGATTGGATTCATGGGAAGAGCAGTAAGTTTGATTCTATTTTACTAGTATTATTTTTCTCATTATACTAATTCCTGTGATCATTGATTTATTTATGTTTTGTTGTGCTTAGTTGTAGATGATTCAGAAGAGAAAATAGATGATGATATTTTCAATCAAAATATGAAGTCTAATAAAATTATATCCGCTCAATGTTTTAATTCTATATCTATCATTGATCATGATTAAAGAGAGGTAATGCCAAATTTTTGAGACTTATCTAGTTATGAGTCTATTTAATTATTAATGTTACATAATATTTCATTTTAATTTGTGTAGGGCATGACAATTTGGTTGTTGAATCTGCTCGTTGTCGTGGAGGTGAAGATTTGATATCTTTCGTGGGATTTTATGAATCATGGAGTTTGTGGTTGTTTGAGATTGTGGTTTATAATATGATTGTTATTTCGGATTGTATTTATAATTTGTAATATGATTGTTGATGGAATTTTGATATTTTTTATTGTAGTTTGTATTTTATAATATGGTGTGATATGATATCTCTAAATATCACATTTATTTGTTAGTTTATTAGTTTTATAAACTTATATAGCATTTTTAAGGTAAATGGTTAAATGAGTGACTTAACGTGTTAAATGAGTCAGACGGGTGGTAAACAGGTAAATGGGTTAAACGGGTGATAAACAGGTAAATGGGTCAAACGAGTGATTTATCGTGTTAACCCGACCCAACTTAACTCGACTCGTTTAAAATTAAACGTGTTAAACGAACCGTGTCGTGTTACACGTTTATTAAACGGTTCATGTTCGTGTTTTGATTTTTACCCGTTTATTAAACGTGTCGTGTACATGTTACATATTTTTCACTCCTCACTTATGTAACTCGACACGTAATTATTTATTCCGACACGTTTGATACCTTTAATTTTGATACAACAATAAGTATCAGAGTAAGGTCACAAGTTCGAGTCTCAAGGTAATTATTAGGGTGAAAATTGTTGACCTAGGGTAAATGTTCAATAAGTCTCTTTGAGATTTGGTAGAGGTTTAACCAACTAGACCCCCGAGTTCTTTTTGCTAAGCTAAGTTAAAAAATAGAAAACTGCACCTTCTCCGATACCTCTGAGTTTTGGTGCAATAGTAAATGCTTTGAACGTAAGTATATTTTATGTTTTTATAAACATTATTGTAATTTAAAAATAAAATAAAAATTATATTTTATAGGATAAATTATACTCTGACCTCTCAATTATGATATTTTTTATATTATACCTTTAACTATATGATTAGGTTCATATCCCTCCAATGATTAGTGCCTGTTATAAATTTGAGAAAAACTTGTTTTATTTTTTCCCTTGAATTATGTGAATATTGTCCCACCAGACTGGTAGTTTCCATCCAAAGTTATCGCGGACGTTTATGTTTGGAACAATGTGAAATAATTTAATAATTTAAGGGACAAAGTAAAATTAAGTTTGTAATTAAGAGAGTCAAAAAATAATTTATCCTATTATATAATCGATGAAATTCCTAAAGTACAATAAAATGGATTTAAAAAAAAAAAAGAACTCCAGCCGTGGTTTTCCAATTCCAACTCAGCTTCCGGATAAGCTTTATCTCTCCATTTTCTCAACTACCAAACAAAAAAAAAAAAAACAAAGAATATTACATATTAACCGGCAAAATTCAAACTCAATTATTATCAATTTATAAACATGAAAAAGAATGATGATATTTATTTTGTTTTCTCCGACCCATCACTAGCCTAAATATCTTATCTCCTTTTTGAAGTTCTGTTCTTCAAGAAAGATAGAGAGAAATGTCCATATTAGCACCTAATTCTCACATTCTTTACAGAGAAACCTATTATAGAGACCAGCAACAGCAGTTGTTCAGTAATGGGAATTGTTCTGTTTTGTTCAATTCTTATGGGTTTGGATTTGATCGTAGAAACGGTGAGTCGAGGAAGATAGTGAAGAGAGATTTGAGAGTAGATGCCTTCTGGCCAGACTTGTCCAGGCCCACTACCGTAGAGATGGAACCCATTAAGGACTGTGAGCAGTTGGATCAGATTTTGGCTCGAGCCAGAGAGCTCTCACAACCCATAATCATTGATTGGTCTCTCTCTCTCTCTCTCACACACACACACACTGTGTATCTTCTTATATGTGTTGTTGAGATGATTTTTATTTACGGGTCTTTAATTTCAAAAGCAAGTTAACATAATTGTATGTTTTTTTTTTTGTAGTTTTTTGTTATATTTGTTTCCTCCTTTGGCTCTGGGGCTGATTTTGTTCTCCACATTTGGTTGATAGGATGGCTGCTTGGTGCCGAAAATGCATCTTTTTGAAACCTAAATTGGAGAAACTAGCTGCTGAATACGATACCAAGTAAGCCAGACCCCCCCTCCCCTCCCTCCCCTGTTTCCTTGTTTTGCTTCTCTCTGACTGTGTGTGTGTGTGTGTGTGTGAGAGAGAGAGAGAGAGAGAGAGAGAGAGAGAGAGAGAAACTGGTTGAGAGTTTGTGCAATTTATTATTGATAAAGATTCTTCAGTGTGTTGATCTTACAAGTTAAATTCAGTTAATCAATTAAGGTTTCACTTTGTTAAACCTGCTATCAAATGTGAATGTTCTACCAATCAGAGTGAATAGTGGTGATGCTTTAAGCGTATGTGAGTCCAAGGTGATTAATTTAAAACTTTTGGTGGGCTCAAATAAGCTTAAATTAGTCCATGCTAGCTTTGTGCACCAAGAGAGAGACGTTTAAGGAATAATCTTCCTCTTGCTGAATATGGGTGAGTTTGGATTTAACTTTATGTGATCTGGTTAGTAGAATGTAAGGGCAGGAACAAAACAATGATAAAAAGGAACTGTGCAATCCAGAGCTATCATGTTCATACCATTGTATTGAATGATCCCAGTCAGTTACTGTCCGTCTATATAATGCATACAATATTGGTTTCTAGTTGAGCCGGTTCAATAGCTCTGTATGAATTAGCAGTTTTTGATTCCTCTAACCCTATTCTTGATCCAACGTGGAGATAGGTTATGTTCGTTATACCCTTCATGAGGCAGTTGAAGTATCACAGGAAGGATTGTAACGAATCCGGGTATTTGGGGGTGACAAAGGGTTTTTTTGCCATTACTTATTTATTGAGGCTAGGGTTATTATCCATATAATTTTTTCCTCCAATCCACGTATATATTATAGATCTATAGATGTTTTGGATTTCTTGCAAAAGTATGATACCAAATTCTCTCGATTCCCTTGATTCTAGATCATCACTCTTGAATATAAGTGGGATTCATTGTATTCATGTGGGTTACAAACTTGAAATTTTAGAATTTAGGGGATGGAACGAATTCTTGTTTAGTACTTCTTACTAATTTTGGGCGGCAACTAATTCTATCATATGCTTAATACTTCTAACCATTCATTGTGGCAGCAACTGTTCATTGACTAAGCTCAATGCTGTATCTACACATTGGTATTTTGATCATGTCATTGTTATAGCTCCAAGTTACTAACATTTTTGTTTCTCATGATAGAATCAAATTTTATTGTGTGGATGTCAACAATGTGCCTCAAGCTCTAGTGAAGCGTGGGAACATCTCTGTACGTATATGTTCCCGTTGATAATTTCCATTATTTTTTACTTTCTTATGTAATTGTCGGTTTCTTTGTCTCATTTTCTTACTAATTGTTATGTGGTTTTATGACCCTGATTGCACAGAAAATGCCAACAATCCAGGTGAGCTCACCCTTTGCATTTTCTCTACGTTTTACAAAATTTCTTCTATTAAAGAAAAAGAAGAAGAAGGGTGGGGGGGGGGGGGGGGGGGGAGTTGATAACCAAAGATTGGAAACTAAAATTTTGTGTTGCAGCTCTGGAAAGATGGAGAGATGAAAGCAGAAGTGATTGGAGGACATAAAGCATGGCTTGTGATGGATGAAGTGAGAGAGATGATCCAAAAGTTTGTTTGACATATAGTTCTCTCTCTCTCTAGAAATGTTGTTTCTATATATATATATATATATCATTTACTTCCCCTCTCATTCGCACATCTGGTGTACATCCAATATAAGAGTCATGTTTGTACAGTAGGACTACCCCCCCCCCCCCCCCGCCCCAAAAAAAAAAAAAAAAAAGCACTACCTCTATGGTGGGTGTTTTTGAGGAAATTTGAAGTAAAAAAATGCCTCCTATTAACTTTTGTGAGTGGATATTTTGTACTGGCTAAAGTTCTAAGACCAATGTGATGCCCAAAGGAGCTGCTGGCCACTAGAGCCCATAGACATGGGTTTCTTGTTTCTCTATTTCATCTGAGGAATTAGTAGTTAAAAGATTTTATGGGAAGAAGCTAAAAACAAGCGTCGCTTTGGCCGAGTGGTTAAGGCGTGTGCCTGCTAAGTACATGGGGTTTCCCCGCGAGAGTTCGAATCTCTCAGGCGACGTTCTTTTGAGTATTTTAAAGTTTTGCCCTTTTTGGGCCGATCATGAATTGGGCCGATCATGAATTGGGCCTAATTAGTCCTTCTTCGAAGCAAAGACAACTGGGTCCAATTGTTCCGGTTGAGATAGGCTTCTGACTAATTGGTCTTATTGGGTTTTTACGACAGTAGTGTGAAGTGGATAAATTGAAGTAAAATTTGTAGAGAGAAAATAAAATGTTGATTTTTTTTCCTTAAATATTGAACTGATCTCTATGAGAGTAAACTCCGAATATTTGAAATCACTAATAAACTAAAACTATTAGTTAAGTTAGGGAGGTTGAACCCTTGACGTCTGGATCTATGATTCGTCCAGATCTAACCTAATACCGTTGGACTATTCATGTGAGTTAAAATGTTGACTTCTTAGTAACTACTTGCCCTGCTAATCCCATGCCTTCTTAATTTGGATGCATAAAGCACATAATATTGGTCAACATAATGAAAGATTCTCCTTAAAAGCTTGGTTTCAAAATTTATGTCTTCTGTTTATCAAGAACCACCCAGAAATAGGGTGGCAAAGAGTTGAAGGAACACAACCATGGATGGCAATGAGTCGAATCCCATTTCCTCCGGCAAGGAAATGAACGGGGCAGGCAAAATTACGTCAGAGAAAGAATCTCTTGGTGAAGTCCACTTCCCAGAAAAATAGAATAGCACTACTTAGTGACTCGGAGCGGAAAGCCCATTATGCATTGTTTTTGTTTGACCGGCCTATCTTGGGAATGCCACAGTGGTGGAGAATACTCTAATAGGGGATGGTGGGATCTTATTTTCAACAAGATACGGGCAGTTTTTGGCTTTGGAATATGATTTTTCTTGTTTCAATTCTCATTAAAAATGTATAGCTGTTATATATTAGTGTTTAATCCACTAAGCTTCTTGGATTGAATGTGACCATTCAGTAGACATGACTAGTACATGACTAATTCATGTGCCAATATCAAAAGCTGGTGTCGTTTGCATACCAGTCCATTAAGCACTTTCTACTTTGCACTACTCCCCGGTTATATCGTATTGTTATTTTTCCAAGTATTCCTGTAACAGTTGAAGAGTTAGAGTGATCGCTGTTACCTGGCAATGACAAAACCATCTTTTTTTTCTTTGTTTGTTTTGGGTTTTTTTTTTTAAACTCAGGTTTGGATTTTATAAGGTAAAATTTTAACGTACCATTGAAGATGGTCCTTGGGGTGAAGAGCTTGAACCAGATAACAATCCCCAAGCTCCTATTCTTCAACAACCGGAGTAGAGTATTTAGTTATTGGAAAATTGCCTTTCGTTAACGCAGCCCCTAATACCAGCAGTAGCTTTGCCTCACGGGAACAGCAGGAAGAGGAATTAATTGGCAGAATTTTTTTTTGATAATCAATACCCTGCTTCATTTGACTTGTCTGTAAACTTTGTTTTCTCCAGCCTTATTAGAGTGCCATTTACTGTTAGCACAATACAAATAATCATGTAATCCTCGTGTATCATCTGTAGCAAAACTATGAACGGGTATTCCGTGCTTTGCTGGTGGTAGTTTGATTATCTTATCATGGGAGTAACACATAACATTGGTGGTTATTGCTCTTTAGGTGTTCCTAAACTTTTTGTCGACAATAGATGTTCATAAACTTGATATACGCAAATAATTATGATGGATAATAAGATTGGATGAAAATTGGCAGCAATTCATCTCATCTTTGGACCCTTTTATGATCTTAACTAGTATACCAGCGTAGAGAAATGTTCCACTGCTTCGACCAAAAGGGGAAAGAAAGAACCCTCACCTTGTGAACACGCTCTGCAATTTTTCGCAAATTTTCTACCTTTGCTTGTGAACTACACTAGAGGAAAATTTACAGTATGATTCCAAATTTAGCTAAAGGACAACACAAGCATTGCAGAGATGACAAGTATTATTGAAGTGATGAAGGAGGGTCGAAACTTGCATCAAATTCCTGAATTTAAAGGCTGCCTGTACAAAATATGAGCTATGTACAAACTAGAAACAGAGACTGGTTTCTAGTAAGATTTGGACAGTGCTCCACATGCTCACACTCCCAGGTGACAATTTAAGTCCAACTAATCACACACAAACACAACTTCACTTTGCTAGAAAGTAGTTGCTAGTATCTTTCGTTCTTCACAGCGTTGACCTTACCAAAATGGAACCTAAACAAGAACATATTAAGTCTACTGCTGCAAATAGAACTTGAAAATTAGGCGTTTAAGATGAGCTGATGAAGGCAATTGTAAAGAATAATCAGCACTCGTTGCTTAGCATTATGCCCATAAAGAGCTACATTACAAAGGTTGGTGAAGACCAAAGAAACACGAAAGGCAGTGGAAATTAAACAATCAGCACGAGTTACCTATCAGTAATTAAGCCAATACAAAACTATTTTACAGAGGTACAGGCTCAAGATCAACAGTCTGCATAGCTGGGAGTAAAACCCAACACGTTCTTGACCACCAAATACAATGTGTATACACCAATATTGACAGAATGACTGTCACAGCAATACATACCTTCAACTCAATTTAAAGCCGTCCAAACACGCATCATCTGGAACAGAGCGATTTCCATCTGAAGTCTGAACAGTACAAAAGATGCAGGTTTCAAATCAATGGAGGAATAACAAAGGGTAAAGAATATTCAAAAGACAAAAAAATCATGAAACAAACTGATTTTACTGATGTTCAAGAAGGTGAAACTTTACATACCTAAAAACAAGCAATGATGTGCAAACTTGCTAGGTCCTAAAGTCAGACAACCACCGGCGTGATGTTAATCACATTCTGGGCAGCGATGGGTAAACCAAAACACAAGTTTTATAGGGCTTAGAGGAAAACATCTGATTGAACTCAAATACTAGCAGCTTTCTCGCGACTGTCTGTAAAATTCAGTGAAGTCCAGCCGGAACACAAGGAACTTCAGATCAATGTGTTGCTGCACAGGCAACTGAGAAATGAACCCCTGAAACAGTGATGAATATTCCTTTGAAATTGCATCTATGTCTTGTCCCATACTTCGAAGAAATTCACCAGCACGTTGTGTTAAGGCCTTCCTGCCTTCACCAAGCCACGACCCAGGTTCTGAAGATTTATCATTTGAAGGCCTCCTTGGCTTGATTTTGTCTCCTGAAGGCAAAGAAGGCACCACAGTCCTGCAGCAAACCATGCAATCAGTTTGAGATAATGAAAAAACAACTTCCTAATTCTTGATCAATTGCACCCTTATATGAAAAAAAAATAATGTCAAAAAAACATCAATACCTAGCTTGCAACTCAATAATGCCTTCATACAACCGATCTGCATGACTTCGGAATCGCAAAATAAGGTCAAACAAAAGAAATAGAGACTTATAAAGGGTTTGGGACCGTTCACCCAGGAGAGACTTCTCAACTATCGAATGGAGATACTTTTCATGTGCTGCAAGTAAATCATCGAGATCCTTAGCTGCTTCCGTTTCATTCAAAAAATTAGACCATGAAACCTCCAAGACTTCAAACATGATATAGCACTGCAAATTTGTAACAAAATGATTCATCTCATCCCAAAGAACTTGGCATCGCCTTGATGTCAAAATTAACTGCAACTTAACAGCTTGTGGAAGCTTAGTAAAGAAACGAGAAGTAATACAATTCGGTTTCATCGTCTTCCAAGCACCAATAAGTGCATGCTCCACCCTTCGAAGCTTCCACAAAAAATTGAAGATTCTTAGATACCTTGCCATAACTGACTCTGTAAAGATAGTATTTAGTGGAACCCTAGCATCATATTCCAAAGAAAATACATCCCAGCCCCTATCTCCAGTGTTATGAGGCAACATCTTGACCCTCAACCTATCCAGTATATCAGGATCATCATACTGTGCGTTAGATGACCTAATAGCACTTTCCAACAGCCCCGCAAGCTTGAATGAGCTGATAGTATTAGCAGGCTCAGAGAGCTCCGACCCAACAATATCCATCAGATACTGAACAAAATCACCTTGCCCAAGCAATAAATATCGCTTAATTGCAAGACAATGTTCTTTGAACTTGTACTGATTGTACATAACATCCATCAAATGCTTATCTATTCTCTTTGCTGCTTTACTGACCAAAGTTTCAAGTGCATCGGTTTCACCATACCCAAGACCTCCTCTCCTAGTTGTAGTCCCAGCAGCAGCTGCAGCTTCTGTTGCTGCATCAGCCCAACCACGATCCTCACAACAAACCCGAAGGAAATTGATCGACTTCCCAGTCCTTAAAATGCGCTGGGCAAGAGACTGTGAGATAAAAGAAGGCAGCATAGCAGCATGGAGCCCGTAACCTTCTCTCCAAAGAGACTCAGCTTTTACTGGCTGACCTAAAACAAAGAATTCACCAAAAATATCTTCAAGCTCCCCTTCTAGAACCCAACTCCTCACCATCTCAAAAAGAGGAGAGCACACCCGACGAAGCAACCGTTTCATAAAATCGTGCACAAGCGGATCACCATGTTGTGCATGCAAGTGAATTGCCCCAGCCATCGCCCCACCCTTTAGAACCTTACAATTATCAACCAAAACAGCCATTAGCCTCATCTTCACCATTGGCTCAGCAAACCAAACCGACAGTCTTCTTAAAGACAAATAATTCCCTGAGCTTGCATTTTCCAAGATCAATGGAATGGGATTCATTGATTGTGCTTCCAACACGGCTAACAACTTGTAATACTCTGAAAGCTCATCTTGCAAAGCAGCACAAAATGCTTGCCCAACAGTCCCCACATCTTCAGCTGAAAATTGATCCATGCTCTCTGATATATACCCTCTCACTTTCCTAAACAACCACCCAAGCTCACAAAGCGTCCGAACCAAAGTTCTAGTAGCCCTCGGAATCTTAACTAAATCGGGTAACACATAACCATCAACATTTTTATCAAACTTCACATACTTCCCATCAATTCCCTGACAAGCATACAACACATCCCTCACCAAGACCTCCTCCGAAACCTCATTCTCTTCCTTCACAAAATTCGCAAACTCCCTATATGCTATATTACGTATATTTTCCGAGTCCTTTGAAACCATCAAAACTCCACCATTCCAACCCTGCTCAAGATTTTCCCTATTCCTCAAACCCCTCAAATTATCACTAAAACCTCCAACGTTATCATTAGAACCCCTATACTTATCACTGACACCCCTTAATTTTTGCAAATTATCACTCATACCCCGTAATTTTTGCACATTATCAGTTGAACCACTTAAATTATCATTCAAAAGCCCATCATTCAAACTCTTTTCGATTCTTTCCTTTCTGCTCAAAACCCTAAAAGTACTGTTAAAATCTCGAGAATTCTCAATTAATTTATTTTCAAACAACGCCGGTAAGCCTCCAGATAATGCCGGACCAAAATAACCGTTCAAAACCCTAGAATCGGAACGGGTTTTATGGTTTCTCCGATCTTCAGATATTACTTTGAGCAAATAAAGAACAGCCCACTTATTATTTACGCTTCCAGAGCCGGTTTTTAATGCAAATTTGGAATAGAGATCGGCAAATGTTAGGGCATCGGAGGATTTACCTTTGGTTGCAAGCTGTCGCTTGATGGACTCGGCCATGGCGGCTTCATCGGCAGAAATTGAAGGGGTCATTCGGCTGGAGAGAATTCGAATCGCGTACTTCAAAGCTTGCTGGTACTGAGTAGTGGTAGAAGTAGCAGTGTTAGTATTCTTACGATTTGAGAGTGAATCGGTAGGAGATTGTGTGTTGAGTAAACGGTGGACTAGTTCTTTGACTAGATCTATGACCCTCTGGTCGTCTTCCATGGCGATGTAGACCGAGAGAGAGAGAAAGACAGAGAGTGAGAGAAGGGAGGGTTTGGAGAGAGAGAGAATTTTGAGGGTTTTTTTCGCTGCTTCTGATTTGGCTTTTATATGGGCGGGGAAATGAGATGGGTTTTCTTTTTCAAAATGCCGAATTTGGCATGGACAGGTCCTAAAAATAGCTTAAAATTTTTTTTAAAAAATAATTAATTTAATAATTATATTACGTCATTATTATCACATAAAAATAATTGATTAATTATCAATAATCATGTAATCTTAGTGAATCCCATCAAATTATATATTTACTAACAATTTCTACATTTAAAATTATTATTTAAGATTAATGAGATTCACTTATCTTATTTTTTTGTTTATTATTAATTAATTACATCATGTGACATTGATAACATGATATAACTGTTACATTGAATATTATTCTCATTTTCTTTGTATTTTGTGTTCCCAAAAACTTCAACTTGCTTGCAAGTTCTAGGTTATCACTTGAAAAAAATAAAAAGAATTTGGAGAAAATATTTTCATAGATTTTACATGCAAGCTTATTGGAAAAGTTTTGGTTTAAAAATTCTAATAAACTTTGTTGGAAATATGAACCCGACAAAAAAGTAAAAGGCAAGGTGAGGCACAAATTAAGTTGTTCTCTTAAGACAATTCACGCTTTTTTGTAGAAGAAACGTGGTGCAGTAATTAATAGTGTGTCATCCCCAAGATACAATAATCTACCCTAATTGATTCTACCTTTGCTCAAATCTGCAAAATCGAATGAAGTAAGAGCTTCAAACAACACCTTTTATTTTGACCATATAACTTATGCATAGAGAAAAGATGATAAAAAAAAATATATGAGTATATATTTTCTGGCCATCATATTTATGTTGTAAAAGATGATCACTGATATACTACATTTATTTCTAAAATAAATGAAAAAAATTACTATTGAAAAATAGTTGTTACAACAATTAAGATTTTTAGTGACAAATTTTTTTTGTCACAATAAATGCGTATTTCATCACTAAAAAGATTTAGTGATGATTTTTCTATCGTCACTAGGTGGTCACTAGAAATTTGTTACTAATTGTCTATAATGACAAATTAGAATAATCATCACTAATTCTACAATTTATAGTAAAAATATTCTTTCATCACTTAAAAAATACATTTAGTGACAAATAAAATGGTCACAAAACACCTAAAAGATTTGTCATTAAAAAAGTAATAACATCACTGAAAGTACAAATATAGTGATGAGAATATATTGTCATTATAAGTTACGTTATAGTGACGAATGTTGTCATTATTAAACGTCTAATTTCAGAGATGAAATTTAAATTCATCACCAACTGTGGACCTTTAGTGTCAAATTAAGGTTGTCACAAATTATTAAATCCTTAATTGTGTGACTATCAGTGACAAAAAAAATTTATCACTAGAAATTGAGATTAGAGACGAATTCTCATTTCGTCACTCAAACTCTTTCAAAAAATATTTTTATATTTTTTTTGCATAAAAATTAACTCAAGAAAATAACCTGATAAGAGAAGTGTTACAAACCCAATAATGTATTGTCCTATCATTTACATCCAAATAATATATGACAATTAATATATTAACCCAACCAAAGAACTTAAAATTATTTTTTTCTCAAATAAAAGTATCATCAAAGAAAATATGAAATAAGTGTACCAAACAAGTGTTTTATCATTAATAAAAAACATAAGTATAGAAAAGAAAGAAATAAAAGAGGCACAAGTGTGATTTTGTCTGCCGTAAACAACTCTCACCACCAGTCATTAATTTGCACATAAGAACAAAATAAAACAATGTTAATTAGTATGTTTTCAACGTCCACAAATAGTTGAAGGTAAGTGTAACTTTGTAAAACACACCTCATAAACAAGGTTCTGTTGTATAGATAACATAAATGTAAAGAAAAAAAATCAAGACAACACTCATACAAATGTTCCAAAATTTCAAATAAAAATGTGATAAATCCAAATCCAAGCTAATTCGGATCAACTCAAGCAAACATAACTAGATCCACAAATTATAACGTCAATTTGTCTTTGAGAGATATTATGTTGTATACATGATAGTATATGTGATGTTCACATCATTGAACCATTGGTTAGTTATCTCATGTTTTTGTTGCTTCAAGTAAATTCAAAAGACGACAACAAAATATTTCAACACATCTACCAACAAAAATGACTAATCAAATCAACCATAAAAGAATTTTTTTTTTTTAATAGGCTTATAAGCCCTAATTATTTCGCACTAAACCAAAAAAGTCACTAAAAAAAATATTGCAATTTTCACATAGCAAACGAATTTTACTCAATCTTCACAATAAAAATCTCAACAAATAAATTGAGGAATCATCTTGTATAAAATAAGTTTTAACACACAAAATTTTCACCTTGTAATAATGGCAATTCTCTAATATGCAAGAAAGTAAATGCATAATATATATAGCTTACCATGACGTAGGAGGGCTAGCCAGATGCCCTGCAGAAGATATATATGCTTGAAATATATTGTCAAACTAGGTCTGTTGAATCCTCATCTCTTCAATTTGAGTCTGCTAGGACTTTATCCACACTCAAATCTCTATAGCATTAGTATTAAACAAGAAAATAAAAACAAAAAAATTTAATTCACCAACAAAAAAAAATAAATTATCTTTATATTAGACGTAAATATTTACCATCACGACCGATTCATTGAGTAATAATATATATCCAACCTCTTTCACTTGATGTTATTACAACTAGAATGCTTTTACAAAATAATTTAATATAAATTAACAATTAGCAATCACTTGATTATGCATATCATTGGTGATAATTTACTTCCTACATACTAATGATAATTACCAGATAATTTACTTCCTACATAGTAATGATAATTACCATGGCATTCAAGCATTAATTGTTCTTATGTTCTCACTCATTTTCATTCAAGTCTCCCACTTTTTGTCTTGATTTTCAATGATTGGGTAAGGCTTAGCAAAATATCATTTCTATGTTTCAGTATCGTTACTTCAATTTGTCATAAAGTTTCAACACCACACTAGGTGCTTTCTCTAAATAAGTTGAATTGCATTTTTCTGACTTCCATCCCACATCGATAGTGTGGTGGATTATAATTCCTTATATAAGATTTGTTTGTCCAGTGGAAGAACACTAAGTTATTGGATAGGTTGTTTGCAAGGAAAAAATAAAAACCACAGGAAATAAAATTAAAAAAAAAATAGCAATGACTGAAACAATTTCATTTTTCAAAACGTGAACATAAATACTTGGCAACATATGAGAATTCAATTGAACAGTACCATATAAAAAGGTTAATAATTAGTGAAGAAATCATTTGCTCGTTAAGAAAAACATAAATGATATATGAATTCCAAAGAGTTATCTCAGGCACATGAATGAGAAAGTCAATTTCATTGAATATGTGAATAGAAGTGAGGGTCGATGGACCTAATTAAATTAAATGTTTTCTACCAACAACACCATATATGACAAAAGAATGATTGGAAAAGTGAATTGTTTAGTTTTTTTTTTAAACCTCAACTATGTGAGGAAAAGTTTTATTCAAAATTAAAAAATTTGACAACCTAGTTGTTGGGAAGCTCTGATGAAGTAAACAATAAAGCTCAATGATATTCTGGATGAAATGACCTCTTATCTTATTGAACAAACTTGGCTATATATATAGCCTTACAGTACTTAGCAAAACAACTGAAATAAAGTTCACATTTAGCTAAACATCAGCCAACGTGGTTAGTGTAAACTGACCACTAACAGTCTCACATAATCGTAAAGACTAGGGATTTATTTAAACAGAAGCAAGACTCAGTAAACACGTAAAAATAAGCAATAATTATCCTTTCAATCCCTCCCCTAAACTAACTATGGTAGATAGTTAGTTTAGTTCAGCTGCCTCACAAATCCCCATCTGACTTCTAAGCTTCAGGAAGGCATCCAATTTCAACGGCTTTGTCATCACATCTGCAATTTGCTCCTCTGTTCCACAATGTAACAACTCAATGGTTCCATCCTTAGCAAGTTCCCTCAAGAAATGGAATCGTACATCAATATGTTTGCTCCTCCCATGCATGACGGGATTCTTTGACAATTTGATGGTGGAGATGTTATCACACATGACTATGGTGCCCTTCTTTTGTGCATGTCTCAGCTGCTCCAAAACTCTTCTCATCCACACTACTTGACTTGCACACCCAGCTGCTGCCACAAACTCTGCCTCTGTGGTTGATAGTGTAACAATCGACTGTTTCTTTGAAAGCCAAGATACTACTCCAAAACTTAACAGAAAAACATAGTCGAAAGTGCTTTTTCGATCATCTAAGTCACCAACATAGTCACTATCTGTGTAGGCCATCAAGTCATCTAAACTCCCTTTCTTGTACATGATTCCATAATCAAAAGTATCCTTCAAGTACCTTAATATCCTTTTGGCAGCTTGTAAATGAATCTTTGTAGGCTTAGTCATGAACCTATTGATCAAACTCACAGTGTACATTATGTCCGGACGAGTTGTCGTGAGATACATGAGGCTCCCTACAATTTGCTTGTAATATAGCTCATTAATTGCAACTCCATCTTCATCCTTGCTCAATTTGCAACCTGGAACAATTGGACTATTGACTGCATGACTGTCCAGCATTCCAAATAGCTCCAAAACCTCCTGTGCATATTTCTTTTGGCATATGAAGATACCATCAGGCTGTTAGGATATTTCAATGCCGAGAAAGAACTTAATTTTTCCCAAATCAGTCATTTCAAAAGCTTGCATCATTGAACACTTGAAACTGCTCGTCATCTCTTCATCATCACCAATATAGATTAGATCATCAACATAAACACTTACAATAAGTATTTTACCTTCTTTGCTACTTTTTATGAAGAGAGTCTGCTCATTTGGACATCTTTCGAAACCTTCACTGACAAAGTAAGTTTCGATGCGGCTGAACCAAGCTCACTTCCTTGTAGACCTTGTCCTCATAGAGCCT